CATTCTCATTTTCCTTTAAATTGCTCATTTTGAGATCTATCCCAATTTTTTTAATAAAATAATTATAAAATTTAGGGTATTCAAAATTTTAAATATCAAAAGTTCTGATGAAAAAACATTAAAATTTGTATTTTTGCAAAAATATATTTAGATGATTGTAGTTAAATAAATATGACAAATATAAGTTTAATATCCTATAACTTATGAGACAAAGTTTGTGATTGTGTTTTGGAACAATAATATACAAGTTTTAATAATTGGCTGATAATAGATAGAAAAATGAGATTACATGAGTCTGCTTTAATTGGTACTCTCTGCAAATTGAGTTAAGTATCAGTTGAATATAAGAGATGATATTCTATAAGTATTGTCTATCAGACTTAGAAACTATTATTTTATATTTATAAATAGAAAAATAAGAGGGTAAGATGAAAAGTGGAGATTTTATGATAAATTATTAATGTGGAAATTTTTAATTTTATAATGATATCATTACAATAGAAAAGCTCCCCAAGGAGCAGGATCAAAATGCAAACGTAGTGAGACATCTTGCCTTTATTTCCCCTTTCTTTTTTCTTTTATATCTAATTTCAATTAATGAAGAGAAAGCCTACTTTTATACTATTCTTTATTGATATTGTAATTATAAATTATCCCCAAAAATTGATCGCTTGTCACAACTAATATTAAAATAAATATTACCTGAATTAATAACAATGAAATTAGCTGAACATGTTTTATAAAATAATTTATCGAAGTATCAAGGAACAATAGAATACTTAATATTTAAATTAAGTATAGAAGAATAAATTATTCAGTCAGAAAAAAAGATTTAGAGTTGATTCAGAAGGAATTTCAAGAATTATTATAGAAGAATCTAGTTCAATTACACTAATAGAGAGAATAATGAAGATTATTGGAGATATATCAATTGATGAATCAATTAAAAATGTGGCTGATGAAAAATTAAATCAATCATAATTGATTATAGAGCAAGAAAAATATGAGAATGTTTAGTAATAATTAAGGATTGTTGAGAAAAATAACAATTGTAATAAAATAGAATATTTCAAAAATTTTATCATTCAAATCGATAAAGTTGTTAGACTATTGAAGAATTCAATAATTAAAATTTATAAATTTTGTAAACACTTATCTTAGAATTGTTAAACAATTTACAAGAAAAGCAAGAAGAATTAAAAAGAATTGATAAAAAAAATGATGAAGTAAAAAGGAATTATAAATCTCATTAGTTGAATAATTAATAATATGAAATTGATGTTAAGGATTAATATAAAATCGAAAAAAGTGTTAATAATTTTTTGATGAAAAATGTAAAACAAATTTATCAATCATCATTAATACAATAGAAGCAGCAATTGACATAACTATTTTAAGAAGTTAAATAGTTTAGAAATATCTTTCTTCTACTTCAGGATTATAACAAAGAGATTTAAAGAAAAACTACAAAAGTTTTTCTTAATTACCTCTAAGAGCAAATTAATAAATTTAGTTAATCACTTTGGACAACATCTAACATATAATAAATTCACAATGAATCGTTTAAAGAGATTTTGAAAAAATATAAATCAGTATATTATAAGTTCAAAATGAAAAAAGAATAGCAATATATCAGAATAAACAAATATTTGTGATTTACTCAATAATTTTATGGTTGACACCCAAAAAGAATTAAGAGAGCCTAAGTGTTTACCCACAGAAAACTAAATCGAATAAGAATATCTTATTCAATAAATTAAAAGAATATATCTATAAGAAAAAGAAGAGATTGAAGATGATGCAGAATCAAAACAATAATTAGGGTTTTTTGACGTGTTGAATCAAAAATATAAAGATATTAAAAATCATGATGATTGGAAATTATATAGGGTCTAATTTTTACAATAATTTATATTTTATCGAATAGTTTCATAGATACAATTATTTCATTTTGTTAGAAAGCTCTAATTGAATTATAAGTTTTAGAAAAAGATTAAAGAGTTTGAAATTTATTGAAAAATTAATGAGTTTGTAAATGTAATTTTTGTAAAAAGCAAAACGATAGAATTTCAGGAGAAATTTAATATATGCTGAATCGAATCGATTTTTGTAAAAATAAATTACTTAAGAGACAAATGTGAACAAAAGAGAGCAATAATTGAAAGAAATAGATGAAACAACTGAGCAATTAGATGAATATATTAAAAACATCTGTGAAATGGGGTAATAACTTAGATTAATAACCGATTTTGTTAATCATATCAGAAAGGGTTTGATAAGAGTTGAGGGAAAAATAAATGAGATGAAGAAATAGCTAAACAGCTTGGGTAATGACAT